CTTGCTTCACAAATTTAAGTTCGTTTTGGTTGACTGTATATACAGTGTGTCTCAGTCACAGGTCATTCTCCTCCTGAGTCAAGTTTCCTGTTAACTATAGGATTCAGCAGCACTGGCTTTTAATTGAGCTCAGAGCAGCATCTTATTATTATTTTGTTCTACTCACGTGACAACTGTGTGTTCAGGAACAAGTCCCTTGGTGATGCCCTCAATGAAGGTCTCAGTAATGACTGCCTTGAAGGGCTGATTATCTCCTCCCAACGTGATTGGATGTGGTAGCAAAAGTGGATCAAACCTGGCCACGTCAATGGCGTGATTGCCTCGCACGTCCAGCAAATTTGGCACCACTGACAAGAGCAATTTTTGCAGACAGGACGAAATTTCCAGAGCGTCTTCTCTCTTTGAAATCTCCAGCCATTCTGCTTTGCATCTCCTCAATTCTTTACCTATATATAGGAAAAAATATATTGTATTGAATAATAGAACTTTGATCTTGAGAATGAAAATAAATGTTGACCTTTGAATCAACGTGTTTTTTTTTTTGCTGATGATGGTACTTTGATTCATTTTGAACAGAACTTTACCAGGAAAAATATGGTATGCTCCTATGGAAACAGTCATAAATGCTTGGAGTCTTGTTACAACAAATCTTGTTTAAACAAACAATCGATTACAACAAATTTGTTGTTTTTATAGGTCATCCATGATGTCTTGAATGAATGAATGAACAGAAAACTTTATTTGCCGCTTTTCAGCATTCACAAGGCACAACCAAGACTCCCGCATCCAAACCCCCTCCCCCCCCAACCCCAATCCCCNCTCTGAGGTACTGGAAACATGCCAGTTGAATTTGCGCGGTATTTAAAAAAATCATATTTGTTGCAGATTTTAAGCTGCATTAAAAATATTCCAGATACAAGAGACATCTGAGTGCTGAGGCAGTTACCCAGCCTCCAAGGGAATTTAATTTTAAAAGGACATCCTACACATATGCTGCATACACCCATGATGATGTCTTAATAGCTGCAAGGTTACTTGAATTTGTTTATAACAATTTTTTTAGAACAAAGCTATTCACACTTGTTTCAATGGCTTTGTTATAACGAGGTTCTACTGCAATTCATTTTTAAAATTTTTATTTGTCAAAAAACCCTTTATTGTCTAGATTTTAATTTTTTTAAGGGCAAAAAAACTAGTAAATATATGAAGCAATTTTATTTTGAAATATTTTTTAAATTTCTTAAACTTATCCAGGAGCAAAATGCACATACAATATTTTAAAATACAGTAAAATCTCAATACAACGAAGCCATTGGCACTAGAAAATAGCTTTGTTAAAATGAAAAATTTGTTGTAAGCAAAGTTTGAGAACAGTGCAACCCTCTGACAGGAAATTAAAGGACACATTTTTTGTAATTGATTATTTTTTCAAATGAGATTCCTTGTAACTAGATTCTATACAATGTAAAAATACAGTAATGACTGCATATGGGAACATTTACCATATATTTTTCTGCTAATAATTTATCAATCCTTGTACAGTATGTGTGTTCATTTGCAAAACATAAAAAATCCCTCAAGAACTGTCATTTTAAACACTGATTATACTGTTAATTATAGTAGGGTTAATTTTTACACCTGCTGTGGACACTTTAAATGGATTGAAACTCATAAGCGTTAATTTAAAAAATAAAGTATTTGCAATTACGTCCAGCAGGATTTTTAAACCGAGATGCTTTTGAAAATCGATGAGGAAAGGGATTTTTTGAATAGAAATAATAACATTCAAATTGTTCCAAAAAGATGGATTCAACTCACCGTACGGTGATGTAAGAGGAGATTTCCAAGTAGGTGCTGCCAGAATGTGCCCAATATTCAGCATAACAGCGAACAACGCCAACTTTTCTTGTCTTGCAAACATTTTTGCAACTACAAGTGTTCCTCTGTTCTGTGTCAAAAATTATGAACGAAATGTTAGGACATCGAATAATTATACCACTGTGAATTTTCAAGAGTGACGAATAAAAAGGCAGTGCGTCATGGTCACTTCAATATCTTTTTTTTAATAAGAGCAAATTTTTATACGCAAATTTAACGATCAGATTCACATGGAATATATCTTGAAAAATCTTTAGAATGTCTTGAATGCCTTTTAATTTATGTTTGCAAATAAAAGTGCTAGGTGTAAAAATTATTAGCAAAATTTTAAAACACCGGATTGAGTTTTTCATCTATGATTTCTTTTTAAGTGAGTATAAAAAGGCACTTGGTCACTTCGATATTTTTTGAACAAGATCAAATTTTCTACACACAATTTTAAAATCAGATTCACATGAAGTATATATTTTCAAAAAACTTGAGAATGTCTCGTATGCTTCTCAAAATTATTTTGCAAATAAAACTGCTTGGTTTCAAAGTCATGAACAAAATATTAGCACATCGAATTGAGTTTCTCATCCATGACGTTTTCAAAGGGGGTGAAAAGGCACTTGGTCACTTCGATATATTAAAAAAAAAATCAAAATTTACATACGCAATTAAACGATCAGATTCGCATGGAATATATCTTGAAAGAGCTTCAGAATTTCTTGAAATGATTTCAAATTTATTCTTGCAAGTACAAATATTTCTTGGAGTCAAAATCGAGAAGAAAAATTTTAGACACCGAATTGAGTTCTTCATCCATGATTTCTTTTTGAATGGGGTAAAAAAGGCACCTGGTCACTTTCATATTTTTTGAAAATAGATCAAATTTTTTAAAAATCAAATTCTGAAGGAATGTATCTTGAAAAAGCTTCAGAATGTCTCAATTGTTCCTTAGCTTTAAAAACATGTTCTCACAGCGTCCTGATCCGGATGATGGACCCTCAAAAACTGGCTGCCCAAGAATTCTAATGATTGGGTTTATATACTTGTCATGGGTCCATCTCAGACATGTTCTCAATTGCACCCGGATTTATGTCACTGCATAGCAGCAGGAAGATGTCGATAACCGAAAAGGATTTTTTATCATTTCCTTATGAAAAATATATTCAATTTGAGGGACAGAGTTTTTTTGCCCATGGTGTAATTATACAGAGAGGTTCTGAAGCACTTGATTCTAACGGAAGTAACCGTGTGTATATATAACTGATCAAAAACAGGAAGAATTGTACTGAAACTTAGTTAATCTTAATCTAGTGGCGAGGGTCTAATCAAAGTTTCACAAGGATACAAAAGGTCAAAGGGGATTAATTAATTTTTTTTTATATGAGTAACATTAGGCTTGAGACTCATGGTTATTTATGAACAATTTTTTCACTTGAAATATGTGTTGCAGAAATAAATTCATTCATCTACATTTGGAAACAAGGCTTTTGAAGTCACTGTTTGCACCAAAAGCTTGTGCATCAGTGAGATAAGAATCTGGCGTGAAGGTTTTCCAGATTCTTATCACCAAAGAAAAGTTAGGTTTATAAAAGTGAAAATATCTCAAGATCTGTCAATTGGATCAATTTGTATATGATACAAGAAAAGTTGAAGAACATCTTTGGCTTCAATTTAAAATGTCGTAAAAAAGTGTAAAATGCGCAGAGTTATTTGCTTCAGAAGTTTGCGCATGGGGAATTGCGCCATAGGCAAAGCATCTTTTCTTTGCTGATTTTATTTATTTTTGAGAGCAAGTTTCTATTGCACAATGCAAGATTGTATTTGCTGATTTTGTGTGTGATTGTTGTCTTCATGAAGCCTGTGATCAGAGACAATAATAAGAGTCCTCTTTTAACATCCAAGGAGTGAGGATGCTTCAGCTTCTCTTATTTTTCTGCAGCCATAATGTAGTTTTGTACTTTTAAAATTAAATTCCCTTGGAGGCTGGGTAACTGCCTCAGCACTCAGATGTCTCTTGTATCTGGAATATTTTTAATGCAGCTTAAAATCTGCAACAAATATGATTTTTTTAAATACCGCGCAAATTCAACTGGCATGTTTCCAGTACCTCAGAGGAATGTTTACTATATCTGGTGCCACTTTTGACATTTTTCAACACAAATTACATCCACAAACAAATTTGTAAAAATATTCTGTGAATAACAGGCATTTGCAAAAGTTGTGCCAGTATAATTCAGTATCTTTGAAATGAATTTCTCAAGTCCGAGTTGAAATACTCGAATCCTTCAAATAATTTTTGCCTAAATCCTGAAATCTGAAACTTATTCCTCTTCAATACAATTGAAAATGAGATACACTTTTGAGAAAAGCATGATATTTTTCATAGAATTTGTAAAAACTGAAATTTAAAAGTCAAGAAAATTAAAAATATACTGTTATACCGTTTGTGGAAATTCTGAGATCTTCAAGAGGTTGCCTTTCAAGATAAATGTGCAGTTAATTTATTTTTGAAGATTTTACAATTTTTCTCTCTTGTACCATGTTTTTTAGGTTGAAGAATGACAATCATGACATAAAAATAATGTTTTTAAAACCCGTGCTCATGTATTATGCACTAGGATTCACAGTTTGAACTAAATTTTAAAACAGTGTGATTCAAAAAAGCAAGAATATTTTCAGCAAAAAAGTCTAAGGAGATAAACTGAATATGGAAAAAATATCTATTATTTTCTCCAATCAAATCATATAGGTTTTTGGCGAATAAACATATATTATTATGCTTTCGCAAAATACTTTTAAAAGCCTTTGAAAAGTTTGTCTTTTGAAGTTCCCTTGATTCAAATTCCAGTCATAATCGAGGTGATCCATCTGGCTTAATTTGTTTTTTTGTAATAAGAAAAACTATAATATTCGTGCTTCTCATTGCACAAAATTTTTTAATTTTCATAGCAGGAGTATTAGTTCAGAAAATTTGGCCTTTTTCAAATTTCTTTTGTGAAAATAAGTGGGTTCAACAAATTATGATTAATAAATAATTTCGTCTTAATACTGCAAGCCCCAACAGTAGTTTTTATATCAGATATAAGCATGGAAATACCATCTCAAATTTTCTTCATTAAAAAAAGACATGCTTCAGACACAGAACATATTATATTTATTTCGAATATTCATAAAATGCACTTGTTGCAATCCACAATCGTCAGCAATTCAAATTTCAGTTCAATTTTTCAAATGTTTCGAAGTGTCGGATATACTTGACTCTTGTTCTCCAGGCAAATGTCAGAATATATTATTCAAACGTCCCTCTTTTTTTAATCTCTGGTGTAGTGTAATCTTAAAAATGGAATCCCAAGCAATTATTATTTTCAAAACACAACCTAATTTTTGTTTCATTTTTCAATTTTATAATGCCCTCGACAAGAACAAAAGTCTTCGAAATCCAGAATCACAGATACGCGACATGATTGGTTCTGAGAAAAAAGAGATAAATTTGAAAAGCAAGCAAGAAGTGTAGAATTTGGAATTCAAAGATCTTGCAAAACTTTCCAGCCCCTGTGATACAAGGATCCGACGCTTTTTGCCAAAAAATTATTGACAGGAGGTTTGAGCAGATCCAAAATCGGCTGCGTTGCTTCATTTGTTGACAGTGCTGTGTTCAGGAAAGTGGCTGTAAAAATAGAAAAAAAATTAAAAATAATAACATATATACATTGCAATTTTGGAACCCGAATCTATACACAGTTGCATTTAGTTTAAAAAAATTTGAGCACTTTTTGGCATTGATTTTGTTGACTTGAAGAAATTATAAGCATTCCTCACATCAAATTTCTTCTTCTGCTTTTTTGAAGCAACCTAAAAAATTTCACTGTATACATTTTGCAAAAAAATTTAAAATTGAAGGACAGGTGAATGAAAACAAATCAAAATGCTAAGAGAATTTCCAATACAGAAGGTCCTATACAAAAAAATTTCAGCACATCTTTTGAAATAGCAGCAGCAGGTTCTTTTGCATTGTACTGTGGTTCTAGGATTTGTTTGCAGGCTTATTTTGGTTTGACCAAAGGTCAAATATGCAGTTTTAGCAGAGTAGTCAAAGTCAGTAAAAATTCTGCAAAAAAGCCATTGTTCTGATAATCATTGAATGGTAATCCTATGGCAGGAATGCAGAAATAATGCCACTCAACAGTAACTTTTTTTTCTTTTTTGCTGAAAATTTTTCTGCAGGAATGCTAAAAATATTAAGGATTTTCCCAGTTTTGGCTCTTCAAAACATTTTTGTTTCCCCTGTTTTATACTCCTTGTGGCACAAAATTTGGCAGATAAATCCCAGCACTGCTGCCCAAGGATTAAAAATAATGAAAACTGTAATTGAGTTACTTCAATTTCTGTGCTTGAAATATACTGTACAGTGGCCACCCGCCTTACAGACCTCCCTGTGTAAGGGATTTTTGCCAAACAGACCAGCTCTGCAGGCAGTTTTTCCTCCCGCCCAACGGACAAAATCCACCAAGCAGACTTCTTTTGGTTTAAAATTAGTGTTGAAAATTGAAATTTTTAAGTTTTTATATAATGGAATTTGTGTAAAGGACTTTTTGTCTTACAGACTCGCCCATTGCACAAATCAAGTCCATTAGACGGGAGTTGACTGTACTTCAAGCATTTGTACTTGATCATCAAAAAAATTATGAGTATATAAAGAATAAATGCTTGAAATTGGGATTTTAAAAAATTAACAAATTATTAAAAAAAAACAGGAAAAATTAAAACTCACTCAAAACATCATTGGGATTATGACCCTTGAAATTCAGCTCAAAGGACTGGACCTCAAAGCTGCTCCTGGATGACCTGACTCTGAGTTCTCCATTTCTTGCCTTGGTCATGGCAACATTCAGGTGTGCCACAACATCACCTTCCATTCAGAAAAAATAAATAATGGGTATAATTATTCATCAATCTTCATCAAGGAAACAGCAATACAAAAAGTCAAAATACTTCACCATCAATTCCACCATTATTCTCTTCATCATTTTGAGGAAGTGTCATTTGTAAATTTATTGTCACCATCAGAAATATTTTTCACGGTTTATTTTCATGATGAGGTAAACTTTTTTTTCTTTATTGTAGCCGCTGTTCAAATTTTGGTTCCTTCATTTGAAAGTTAAAAAAGGCATATCAATTTGAAAAATGACTTTTTGAATTTTTTTTATATAGATAATAATGATAAAAATCAGGGTTAACAGGGATTTTATCCCTTTCTATTGTTTTTCATTGGTCATCTGTTTTCCTTCAAAATAAATCAGTTCAAATTGTGATTTTCCATTCGAAATATTTTGGAAAATAAACCTCGGCTTGTACAGTACTTATTCAAGTGACAATTTTCAAAAAACGACGATAAACATTCAATGTCACCAGAATCTATATATATTTTAATAATGCTTTTCTTCCTATACTGAAATATTCGAAGTTAACTTTGTTCTCTCTTGGAGAAAATAAAAGCTTCGCAAATAATGTTCCCCCTCAATAGTTTTTTTCAGTGATTATTTTATTGGCATCTTGTAATTTTCAAGTGATCGAAGAAATATGCTTTCTTCTATTTAGAAGCATGCAAATTTTACGACGTCACAAATCTTACAAATACGGAGGATGAAACAGCTTAATTGCCAGACGGCGTCGTCGGCAACGTTCAGGTCGGATTCATAATTCATGAACCTTCCAAGGGCAAGGAAATTAACGGCTGAGCACAGGTTTAATGAATTAAAAAAATATATATAGTTTTCCTCTTTAAACAAAAAAGGAATATTCAGGTTTATATATACGAATAACTTACGGGCAACTCCGACAACGTGACCAGTTGTGGTTGCAGCTGCTGAACCGGGTGTTCCAAACAAAGCACCAGTGTCCAAGTTGACTTTGTAATCAGCAGATACCATCATGGGAACTGGGATTCGAACCACGAGAAGTGCTTCTTTGGTGACTGGATCATACCTAAAATCCCATTGGATTCAGCAATGAAATGAACCAAAAATGTTGTTTTGATTGTAAATAAAAAAAAATATTAAAATAAAATAAAATCAGAGGAATAAAGAGGAGATTTCAAAAGAAGGGTTTCTTGCACGATTGTACAAAACAACTCAAGCGACATCATCAGAAATTGAACAATTTTCCAAGTACAAAAATATGAAAATGACAAAGCACTTGGAAAACGGCTGATACTTTTACAGTGTGGTCAGTGATGAAGATAATTCAAGCTTCACCAGAAATTAATGAAGGTAGTGACCTGCAATTTGACCCTAATCCATTTCCAGGTCAAATTGTGAAGCATTTAAATTGCTAGACCACATCAAATGCAAAGTTTTTCGCATCCAGTTTGATGTTTTGTGTCTTTCAGCAGGTCAAATTGTGGGGTGTAGGTCAAATTGCAAGTCAACCTCCCAGTAAATTCAACTGTCCAATTTTTGGATGGTCAAATTGAAGAATGTCAAATTGTAAGTTACCATCTGTATTTTTGCAAGCACAAAAATATAAAAATAATAAAGCACTTGGAAAACAGCTGATACTTTTACAATTCTCAGTGATGAACATAACTCAAGCAGGTTGTGGGGAATTTCCAGTGCAAAATACTTAAACCAAGCCCCCCTTTAGCCAAAAGGGGGGCAAAACTTGTCTTGAATCTCAATGTGTGAAATTCTTGGTGATTTTTGAACTCTTACAGTATTTGTTGAACAATTGCTTGATGCAAAAAGCTGATGTTTGTTTGTGTTGTACAAAAGTGTTGTATATTCTTGTGTGGATACAAGAACATGTTTGAGCTTATTTTGGCAGGTCGTGCACCTGCCAATTTGGCTACCAATTTATTTTCTTATCTCCTGACAAAGCTACAGGGACTGTAAATCAAGAATCCTTGGGGCATCTTCTTTTTATTGTAAAAACCACTTTTTTAGAAAAGACTAGCATCTCTGCTCTTTTGAGTACGTATATACATTTCTCATCTAGGATATTTTCCTTAGATAAAATTTGTACACAGGTCAAGCTTCATCAGAAATTAATGCAAGTGGTACTGCACAACTGGACCCCAATCCATTGGCAGGCAATGGTCAAATTGTGAGACAACAACAAATTCAATGTTTTCTGCATACAATTTGATCTTTTGTGTCTCTCAGCAGAAGGTCAAATTGCAAGTCAATCTCCAATTAAATTCAACCATCCAATTTCAGGATGGTCAAATTGCAGGACATTCAATTGAAAGCAGGTACCATATTTATTTTTCTAAGCAAAAAATTAAAAGTAACAAAGCACTTGATTAGGAAACAGCTGATATTTCTACTGTTTTCAGAGATGAAGATATTGTCAATTTCTGTTGAACTTTTATTCAAATTTGGTAAAATGTGCGGCTCTTCCCCAATTTTTGTTTTATGAGTTTTTGAGTTTTTCATGCACCCTACAAGACAACTTTTTATGGATACATTTTGTATACCAAAATAAAAAGGTATTCTTCACTTCAGGTCATGATGAATATATGAGGGACTTTTTAGAAAATTTAATGTCCAACCTTTTATAGATTTTCATCGTGATGGTCTTTGAATCATAATAAGATGACATCAAAACTGCTGTGGTTGGAGAACTATAGTACATCATTTAAAATGCGCATCAAGATCTCCAGTCTTTTTAAATTCTTGGAAGTAGAAAGAAGGTAAATACCACCAGACACTACTGCACAGTTTCTCAGAAATTCTCCATAGGTATTGTAATTAAATTCTAAAATGTGATAATTGGTCCTCGGCACTTGGAAGCTGCAGTTTATTTGTACCTGATGTAAGAAAGTTCCTTCAATATTGACATACATTTATTTTTTCAAACTAATAAAGAGGAACCAAAAAAATTCAAGCAACTATAAACAAATTCTGTGTGATTATTATTCAAAAAATCATTTTCTAAAAAAAAAGTATTTGTGTTTAGTGTTATTGCGTGGCAATTTGTAGGATGGGCTAATTGCTGAACGCCCGAGACGTAAAAAGTGGGTTGGGCTGAGGTTGATACCCTCAGGATTAATTTTAGTGTCAATAAGGTCAAGAGCATATGCATGAATTCGTACCCGTTGAACTTTACAAGTTTAATACAGTAAATGTTTAAAATGGGCAACGAAAAAATTCTCAAGAATAAGAAGCTTAAAGGCGAATGATTCGAGATTGAAATGAAATCGATCCGGACCAGAAAAAGTTTTAATTTATTTCTCAAGCTGAAATTAGTACTCCTGAAAAATATGGAAATTGAAATGAAGTGTGAAAATGTCATTTAATTCAAGCCAGTAAAGAAAAAATCGCCACATCAATAATAATGTGATTTGCTAATTTTTCTCATACCAGATTTAATAAAAAGTTTTCTCATGGACTCAATATTTAATTTTTCTGTATGACAAATTAGCCATTTTACCTGTACTACTGATCATTTAAAATTTGACACTAATGTATATAATGCTTGCCATTAATTCCAAGTTTATTCAAAAAGGGGGGGGGGGTTCTTTGAAGCAGCAAGATGATCAGGTGATCAGAAAATATGCCAGCATAAGCCTGCCATTTGATATATTATAACCAGTTTTTAAATGATAAAGCCCTGCAAAAAGAATCCCTTTTTATTCCAACCCCAGCATTTTAGAAGTACTGAATGATAAATTAAATTATCATTAAATCTCACCATGAATATAATCCATTACCAGGAATCTAAAGACAAGAAATTAAATCTTCTAATATCTTTTCTAATGTTTCAAATCTTGGGTTTATTTTTTAATAACTGCTTTCTTCAGTTAATAAAGCTTCCTGTTACGGATCATTTGAGGGTGAAATAAACATATTATCTTCTAGATATATTCATTCAATTTACGGCAGGATAATTCTTTACAGCAGGCATTTCCAGGGATAAAAATCTCAATATATTTTTGAATTTGTGCCATTATTTCCAAGAATATCGCATTAAATGTTAGGCATGATAATTAAAGCATGTTTTCTTTTTACCAATAAATAATGATCAGGGTTAAAAATGCGTTTTTTTCTTGAACGTTGATCCAATATTTCAATTCTAAAAATCCCTGTTATAATGAGGATTCAATCACTTTAAAAGAGACCTGGAATAATGAATGTACTTGTATCTCCTGATCTGATTCCTTTCACCTCACGCAGCATTTCGACGAATAAAGCATTTAATTGAATATTCAAAACATGTTTTTCATTTCTTCTTCTCTTCTGCTTTATTGTTTCCGTCGTCATCATGATTGATTACCCTCGGGGTGCTGCATGTGAGTATATATATATAAGTATTTGAACTTGGGTTGGGCTCAGAGGTTCATGGACTCACTTGACGGACGAGTGTTCCAAGGTGAGCCCGGTTGTGATGCCTTTCACGAGGTTATTCTCCAAGAGCCCGTTGAAAGGCTGTCCATTGCCACCAATGTTGATGGTTCCGATGCCCAGGGGATCCAGGCGTGGGATACCCAACTGAGCAACGCCCTCTGGCGTCAGCCATCGGGGTACCACGCTGAGCAGCAAGCGGTGCATGCACTGCGCCACTTCCGGCGGCTCCTCTCGCTCGGAAATCTCCGCCCAGTTTTCTTTGCACCACAGCAACTCTTTGCCTGGAGTAAAATTTGAATACAAATTGACAAAAAATTAAAATTACTGAAATTCAATGAAGAGACATTTTTGAAACTCTTAAAGGATCAAGAAAAATGTTTGGCTTTATATGATTTCTCATCAAAGATTCTCTCTAAATTGTTCATTTGTGTGTTCTCTTTTGTTTTTGTCATTGGTTTATGCTTTATGCTTTGAAGTGATTGAATGTATTTTGGGGGAGTTGGGTTGGGTGGGGAGGGGATTTGGATGCAGGAGTTTTGGTTGTACCTTGTGAACGCTGAAAAGCAGCAAATAAAGTTTTCTGTTCATTCATTCATTCACAAAAAATTCTAGGCATGACATTCTTTCTTTTCAATATTGTTTATTTCTGGTCTGAGAAAAAAATAGCTGGTGGTATGCCCCAAAATTTGACATTAATGTGTTGCGGGACTGAAGGATCAATTTGCAAAATATTCAACTTTTGCAGACACTAAATTTAAAATTATGTCAGAGCAGCACAAGAACACTAGAAAAAATTGGTCAAATTGTTGGGCAGAGGTCAAATTGTAAGTATACCTCCCAGCCAATTTGACCATTGAATTGGAGGATGAACAAATTGCAAGAGGTCAAATATAAAGTTCCTACCTGTTCACAAACTAGATCAGTGTTACCATTACCCAACCTTTATGGACCTGCAGACTGGCAAATTTCCATAAAATTGTTTTGAGACTGGTTAATTTCCATAAAATTTTTTTCAGACTGGTAAATTTCCATAAAAAAATTTTCAGACTGGTTAAATTCCATAAAATTGTTTTCAGACTGGTTAATTTTACAACATTGTTCTGCAGAATGGCAAAATTTTTTTAATTTGTTGCACACCCAAAAAAGTTTTGCCTTAAATACTTCATTGCAGGTATTGAAAAAGTTTCTGCTTCTATGCAAGAAAAAAGTAAGTTGAGAACCAAGGAAGCAGCTAAAGTGGAAATTCAAAAAATTAGAAAGGTGGTCTTGGAGAAACATTTCTTAGAATGAAAAATTAAAATACAGTTGGTACCTCACAATTCATCCTCCTGCAAATTGACTGTCCAGCAATTTGATGGTTGAATTTTAAATGAGGTTGACTTGCAATTTGAATATTGTCCTGTAATTTGACCTGCTGCTTTGGCAACTTTCTGCTTTATGTCCTTGCAATTTTGAATTTCATGGAGTGTCTCAAAATTTGACCAATTTGAAATTTTACCCTAGTTTGGCAACAGATTAGGGTCAGATTGCAAGGTACCACCTGTCATTTATTTCATCGTCAAGTGAAAATTTGTCTGAATAAGTGTCATAATTAGAAGGAAAAGCCAACTTCTATTTTTGATGAGATAATTTATGCAATTGTCTTACAAAAATGTCAGATAAATATACTGTTATGTCCTTCAGTGATACTTTTGATGAATTTATGCTGAAAAAATTTCACACAGGCCTGCCGAACATGGGTTGGGGAAACCTCCGCATAAATGAAATGCACTTACATCTTTGCTCACTTGAAAAAATAAACCCATTGCAAAGTTAAGTAGTTTAAATAGGTGTCGCTCATAGTTCAACTCCGTTTTCTCGTTTTCTCACTTGGACAATGAGATATGCTATTCACGTAATAAATTTCTGTTTATTTTATTCGCATAACAGGGGTTCTGCTCATCACTAAAAACAGTGCTGAAAATAAGTATCGTTTCGTTTCGAAATTAATTCATATTCTTTCCAATAATTGCCGAAGGTAAATTTTCTCTTGTTCATGAACCTCGAATCGAATCACATGAGAAGAATTAAATTTCCATGAAAATTTAGTTTCCTACTTCCTTTGACAGAGGCCTCCCAAGTCCACAATCTGAATGACTAATGACTGTTGGAGCCAATTAAATTCCCCGAAATCCGTCAAAATGATCTAAAATCTCACGAAAAAAAAACTCACTTTATTTTTTTCAATTCTTGACCCACAATAAATTATCTTGAGGCTGTTTCCGTGTTTCAGAACGTTAAAACCCGATTTTCATCATCAATAAGTCTTCTTTGATAAGTTCCTGAACACTTTATCAGCTTGAAAAAAATTGATTCAAAGGAAAGTTTTTTTTTTAATAAATAAAAGGGATGTTTATCCTTGAGTCAGAAGCTGCTGGCATATCATCTTTTCCATCAGAAAATGTGATTCTTGAGCAAGATCTTAAGTAGGCTTAGATAATCAAGTTTGATATAATTACCCCAAGGTGACTCCAGAGACTTGGTCCAGTTCAGCTCATTATCGGTACCAGCAGCAATAACGCAAGCAAAGCAAAACGTCGCGGCAAAAATCGCCGCAGAGAATAACTTGCACAGCATGTTTCTCTCCTCGAATTAATCCCGCGGAGAAAATAAATGCACTTGACTTTCCACAGCGTTATAAAATAATATTTAAAATCGTTATCAGTTTTTATTTATCACACACAGTCGTCCTGTTCCTCGTTCCTCCGCCCCGAAAATATTTAATTACTTGATGGATCAAAGTAAAGATGTTTTTTTTCCTAGGATGCGATGAGCAACAATGACCAGAGAATTCCGCTGCAGCCAGTGGTCTTTTATATAGCCGACTATTTTTTCCTTCCTTGTGACCAACACGTGGGGGAATAATATAAAAAAAAATAGTTTTCTTTCCTTGCATTCTTTGGTATTCTGGATGGAGAAGATGAATGTAAAAATGAGAACAGTAATGTTCTTCCTGCTTCAGGACATGATGATGACGGGGGGATTCGTAGGAAGTCTGGGAAACAAGCCGACGTCCTTGATGGAATGCATCTTCTGTTCCCATCTCTCTTATATTATTGTGGATCTTCGGGAAGAAAAAGTTTTCATTCTGTGCCTTAACAATGCAGTCATGGGAGGAAAGGAAGAAAGGGAAGAATGTCCGCTTTATTTATACAATTTTTAAAAATGCTTTACAGGGTTCTTATATAGAGCTAGAGGTAACATTTTTTTGAAAAATAATGTGGAGGTTCAGCAAGGGTACAAATTTAGTAGGTCTTTGAGTTTTTTAATTCCTGGATAAAAACAAATTTCCTGAGAGCTCCAGGATAAATGTTTGAAAAATGATTTGGAGGTACAAGAGTACAAATATTGGAGGTCTTTGAGTTTTCGTAATTCCAGGATAAAAACAAATTTTCTGATAAATGTTTGAAAAATGATTTGGAGGTTCAAGACTTCATATATTAGAGGTCTTTAAGTTTTCACAATTCCTGAATTTTTTAAAATTTTCTGAGAGCTCCAGGATAAATGTTTGAAAAATGATTTGGAGGTGCAAAGAGTACAAATATTGGAGGTCTTTGAGTTTTCATAATTCCAGGATAAAAACAAATTTTCTGATAAATGTTTGAAAAATGATTTGGAGGTTCAAGAGTTCATATATTAGAGGTCTTTAAGTTTTCACAATTCCTGAATTTTTGAAAATTTTCTGAGAGTCCAGGATAAATGATGGAAAAATTATTTGGAGGTGCAAAGAGTACAAATATTGGAGGTCTTTGAGTTTTCATAATTCCAGGATAAAAACAAATTTTCTGATAAATGTTTGAAAAATGATTTGGAGGTTCAAGAGTTCATATATTACAGGTCTTTAAGTTTTCACAATTCCTGAATTTTTGAAAATTTTCTGAGAGTCCAGGATAAATGATGGAAAAATTATTTGGAGGTGCAAGAGTACAAATATTGGAGGTCTTTGAGTTTTCATAATTCCAGGATAAAAGCAAAGTTTCTGAGAGCTCCAGGATAAATGTTTGAAAAATAATTTGGAGGTTCAAGAGTAGAAATACTGCATGGAGGTCTTGAGTTTTCACAATTCCTGGATTTTTACAAAGTTTCTGAGAGCTCCAGGAAAAAATGAAAAATACTTTAGAGGTTTAAGAGCACAAATAATGGGTGTCTTTGAGTTTTCATAATTCCTGGGTAAAAACACATTTTCTGAAAGCTTCAGGAAAAAATTGCAACAAAATTAATGGAAGTTTCAAGAGTGCAAATACTGTAGGTACTGTATTTGAGATTTTTGAATTCCTGGGAAATATGTTTGAAAAATAATTTGGAGTTACAAGACTACAACTATTGGTGGTCTGTGAGTTTTCTTAATTTCTGGATGAAAACAAAGTTTTTGAGAGCTCCAGAAAAATGATTGAAAATAATTTGGAGATTCAACAGTGAATCTATTGGCGGCCTTTGAGTTTTCATAATTCCTGAATAAATACATGAAATTTGCCTGGCTTCTGATTTCTTCTTCAATTAATTTGAAAAATGAAAAAAAATATTTGTTCACTCAGGTTGGCGCAATATGATGCAAAGAAGACATTTTAGTGTCTGTTCTATGTCCATAATTAAAAGCCATGTATTTTTAGAAATTGAAGAAATTCTGGAATCTTTTGTCAAAATCTACATGAGCAATAAATTATTATGCATGCACAATTTCTTGAATTTACAAGCTTCCAAGATGAAGCATATATTTATTGCGAAATAAACATATATAAACGTAGTTTAAGTTGAATTGTTCTTCAAAAACAACGCTGTTCTTTATATAGCGGCTTAAAAAAATTGACAATCAATCACGAAATATAGCGTAAAAAGTATTTAAAAATTGTCTCGTGGACATTTGAAATTTTTTCACACGTGTTATACCTTGAAATTTCTCAGGAGTGGTATAACTCAATTTGCTGTTAAACTTTTAAGATATTATTTACATACTCCTTAAACTTTTAATATATTTTAATGAAATATCGTATTTGAATGAACGCATTGGAACCTTCTTTCTGCCAAGATATCTTTGAATAAGTTGGAAATGGAAAAAGTTGGGCAACAATAAGTCAATTTGGTCAACATGAAACCGTCAATTTATAAGCATACCCACAATATAAACATCAAAACAATTGTTTGTTATTCAAAAAACTTGGTTCCTTTTATAATGATGAGGCATACAAAAACTCTTGTTTCGTAGCAAAGAGGTAATGGTTAAAATAGCTTCGCTTGGAGGTCGCATTCAAAAGTATTTTATGTCTTCTTTTCTTGTGGAATACAAAGCGTAACCTTGCAGATGAAGCAACAAGTTTGTTGACGGGTACATGATTCAGAAATAACTGGCAAGAATAATAAAGAGACAACAATGTAGCAGAAAACAGAGTTGGATTTTTTTTTGTGGTCCCGGAAGTACAGTATTTAACGATGCCGTGACCGGAAGAAACGATCTCAATATAACTCAGCCCACCTGTTTTGTTTCATTTAAAAAAAGGAAGAGAAAATAACCACTGAGAGACACATTCTTTCTGCTGGTGCTTATGTTGAAGGATCCACTAACCCTATTTGACTGTCAGTTACAGTTTGTCCCATATATTTGTGTACCACAGTAAAACCTCATTACAAAAAACATTTGGGGACTTCTGAAGTTGTTTGCTATATACAGTTGACCCCTGCACAATGGACTTAATTGGTGCAACAGACTAAAGTCAACCTCACACAATGGACTTAACTTGTGCAACAGGCTAGTTTGTTGTGTGAAAAGTCTGTTATGTGAATTCAATAGTTGAAAATTAAAATTTTTATTTTTTACCAGTACTTTTAAACCAATAGAAGTCTGTTAGGTGGATTTAGTCCCATGCATGAGAGGGAAAACTGCCTCCAGAGGTGGTCAGTTGTGCAAAAATCTGATGCGCAGGAGGTCTGTTGTGTGTGGTCAACTGTAGTCTGTTATGTGAAAAGTATGTTATGCAAATTTGATTTTCTTTTATGTTTACAAGTATGTAAGACAAGCAAGATTACAACAACAAAAAACAACAACAAAACTCAACACACGCATTCATTGCAATAATAATACCATTTTATATTCAAATTGAGTTGGGAAGCAAGTTGGAGGTATGCACTTCTATGCAGACTGAAGTGTGTTATGCAGATTTGTCTGTTATGCAAAAGGAAAAATTGCCTCCAGATGTGATCTGTTTTGCAAAAATCTGTTGTGCAGCAGGTCTGTTGTGCGGAGGTCAAATGTTCGGTATGCTGAAAATTTTGTTTTAATGAGTTTTTCCAAATTAATCTCTCTCTAAACATTTTCAAGTCAGACCTGCTAATCAATTAGATCTTTCTTTTTTTGCATTCTCAGATTTTCCATGACTTTTTAAAAACTGAGTCATCTTGTAAAAAAAAATATCTTTGCTTATGCATTCCATCAGTTTCACCAATCTTATTGGGGGGATGATGTGTGGACTGTGGAATCACTGGCAACCATGGCTGCCATTTGATTAGAGCTTCTATCCAAGCTTTTTAAAAAACCATTCAGTGGCAGACACATTTTTTGGGATCAGAAATTTCAGAGTTTGTTTGCCTTAGTCAGGATATTTCTACCTGGAGAATCCATCAAGCAATCCTGAAAAAGTTTACCATACTGGAATGGAGAACTTTGTTATATAATGGGATATTGTTTTAACATGGGCTCTATATATTGGCTTCCTGCTGGGACTTGAGAAAAAGTGTGTTACATACTGAAAAAATTGTTTCAACAATATTTATTGTAACAAGATTTTCCTGTATACAGGTATTTCTTAGAATTATGCCATACAATGTCTGTAAGGTCCACTGAAAAATCCTACATCCTCACAAGAACTTGCAAATAGGCAAAGAAAATTTTAATATTGAATGCTTTAGAAAATCTTTAATGAGTCCCATTTCCTTTCTTAGAATATCTTCTGACAAATACCATAGTATGCACTTTGTAAACTTCTCCAACATGGCCATCATTCTCCAGCTCAAACCTGACAATTTTCTCAAGGTCCATAGCTCTGTCAAACCCAATCCTTGCCATTAAAGCATGCACTTCAGAGTTGTATCTTGGATTTGGATGGGCTTCCACCATGCCATATTCAGGACTGGCCCAGGACAGAACAATGCCATAGTCACTATGTTTCACCAAATTGTACAAGAACACTGATTCATATCGTCTGGGAATATGTTCTGCCACTTCAAAAGATATCACCCAGTCAAAGGACCGATTCAGGTTTGCTGCCAGTGTGAGATCCAGGTGTTTGACAAATCCTTGGGTAATATTTTCTATGTTTAAGGCTCCATCAAATCCCTCAAAGGATTTGATTAATGGTGGGCTTTCCCATGCATTGGATGCATTCATTTTGCTGAAAATATGCCATCAAAAAGAGTAAACAAATTTCAAACTACAGTGTACATGTTTCATATACTATGTTACAATAATAAAAAATGCCAAAATTAACTTAATTTACAGTTGAAATTCTCATATGTTTTCTTTCTCATTTTAATCAAGCAATAAAGGCAGGATGAATTTCTGTTCATGACTTTCACACACACCAAGTGGAACTGTAAAATATTTTCATTGATCCTTGAAGCTTTACAAGAAAAACACAAAACCAGAATTCCTAGACTTTTTCTTGAAATAAACTTGATGATGGTCATTTTACCATGTTTTTATGAACTCACTTTCTTGTCTGTCTGTTTGTCCGGATCAAATTTTCAATGGACTTAATTGGTGCAACAGACTAAAGTCAACCTCACACAATGGACTTAACTTGTGCAACAGGCTAGTTTGTTGTGTGAAAAGTCTGTTATGTGAATTCAATAGTTGAAAATTAAAATTTTTACTTTTTACCAGTACTTTTAAACCAATAGAAGTCTGTTAGGTGGATTTAGTCCCATGCATGAGAGGGAAAACTGCCTCCAGAGGTGGTCAGTTGTGCAAATTGCTTGTCTGTTGTGCAAAAATCTGTTGCGCAGGAGGTCTGTTGTGTGTGGTCAACTGTAGTCTGTTATGTGAAAAGTATGTTATGCAAATTTGATTTTCTTGTATGTTTACAATTATGTAAGACAAGCAAGATTACAACAACAAAAAACAAAAAAACTCAAAATACGCATTCATTGCAATAATAATGCCATTTTATATTCAAATTAAGTTGGGAAGCAAGTTGGAGGTATGCACTTCTATGCAGACTGAAGTGTGTTATGCAGATTTGTCTGTTATGCAAAAGGAAAAATTGCCTCCAGATGTGGTCTGTTCTGCAGAAATCTGTTGTGCAGCAGGTCTGTTGTGCGTAGGTAAAATGTTCTGTACGCTGAAAATTTTGTTTTAATGAGTTTTTCCAAATTAATCTCTCTCTAAACATTTTCAAATCAGACCTGCTAATCAATTAGATCTTTCTTTTTTGCATTCTCAGATTTTTCATAACTGTTTGAAAAACTTAGTCATCTTGTAAAAAAAATTATCTTTGATTATGCATTCCATCAGTTTCACCAATCTTATTGGAGGATGATGTGTGGACTGTGGAATCACTGGCAACCATGGTTGCCATTTTATTAGAGCTTCTGTTCAAGCTAAAAAAAAACCATTCAGTAGCAGACACATTTTCTTGGGATCAGAAATTTGAGAGTTTGTTTGTCTTAGTGTCAGGATATTTCTACCTGGAGAATCCATTAAGCATTCCTGGAAAAGGGTGCCATACTGGCATTGAGAACTTTGTTATATAATGGGATATTGTTTTAACATGGGCTCTATATGGGCTTCCTGCTGGGACTTGAGTAAAAGTGTGTTACATACTGAAAAAATTGTTGCAACAAAATTTATTGTAACAAGATTTTCCTGTACAAGTATTTCTTAGAATTATGTCATACAATGTCTGTGAGGTCCACTGAAAAATCTTACATCCTCACAGCAAGAAGTTGCAAATAGGCAAAGAAAATTTTAATGTTGAATGCTTTAGAAAATCTTTAATGAGTCCCATTTCCTTTCTTAGAATATCTTCTGACAAATACCATAGTATGCACTTTGTAAACTTCTCCAACATGACCATCATTCTCCAGCTCAAACCTGACAATTTTCTCAAGGTCCACAGCTCTGTCAAACCCAATCCTTGCCATTAAAGCATGCACTTCAGAGTTGTATCTTGGATTAGGATGGGCTTCCACCATGCCATATTCAGGACTGGCCCAGGACAGAACAATGCCATAGTCACTATGTTTCACCAAATTGTACAAGAACACTGATTCATATCGTCTGGGAATATGTTCTGCCACTTCAAAAGATATCACCCAGTCAAAGGAGTGATTCAGGTTTGCTGCCAGTGTGAGATCCAGGTGTTTGACAAATCCCTGGGTAATGTTTTCTATGTTCAAGGCTCCATCAAATCCCTCAAAGGATCTGATTAATGGTGGGCTTTCCCATGCATTGGATGCATTCATTTTGCTGAAAATATGCCATCAAAAAGAGTAAACAGAATTTCAAACTGCAGCATACATGTTTCATACTATGTTACAACATTAAAAAATGCTAAAAATAACTTAATCTACGGAAGAAATTCTCATATTTTTTCTTTCTCATTTTAATCAAGCAATAAAGGCAGGATTAATTTATGTTCATTACTTTCACACACAGCAAGTGGAACTGTAAAATATTTTCATTGATCCTTGAAACTTTAGAAGAAAAACACAAAACCAGAATTTCTAAGACTTTTTCTTGAAATAAACTTGATGATGGTCACTTTAAAGCCATCCAAAGAACGGAATTGTGAAACAATAGAAGGAAGAGAAAATGTAAATTCCTGGGCTTAAAATTTATGCTTGAGGTTTTTAGTAATACAAATCCCAGTTGTTTCAAAATGTTATACAAAGGAAACTATATCAAAGTTATTAAGTACAGTTGTATTTGTTGTGGGTTGACTAGATGTTGCCCAGACCAAACAAGATTGCACCGCAAAGCAACTAGATGTTGCTCATGGTTGCGCCACGTTGCTTAGAAGCAACTGGAATTATCAAGAACACAAAGTTACATAAATCCAAATATTCTATGAAGTTATGAAACCTTCATGGAATAATTCCAAAATTGTTATGAAATATCATGAGTAATCCTCATCAAAAGGATTCTCATGAAACACAGGACCCAGCTTCAAGAAACTGGCCTTCAGGTTCATTTCCATTGAAATGGACCTGAACCTGAACCTCAAACCTCATCATCACCATCACTCCTGTTCCTGAAGTGTGCACACAAAAATCACTCAGAAAGAAGCTTGTATTCTGTGTTCAACATTCTTATTGGAAAATATATCATCAAAGTTGAGGATTCAACCTCAGGCCGCAAACGGCTGATTGCCTGTGTCATTATTTCACTGAACCTGATTTCTTTGTCTGGAGTCTAAAGACCCACAACAGTATTTACCCAAAAAACCAAAATATTTCATTTCAAAATGTTTTTAGGGTGGTAAGACAATGAATTGCAACAAAATTGTTGTTAGAACAAATTTTTTTTTTATTCAAGGCTCACCTTGAATCAAATTTTGGGCAAGTCTTTGGAATGGTAAAAAATTATGAAAAATAGAAATGAGCGGTTACAGTATTTTTATAAAATGAAGACTTATAAAATACCCATTTTTAAAGATTTTTGGGCTTTTTGTAGCATTATAAAAGCAAAAACATTGATATTTTTCTACACTGATGGAATGAAATGCATAACTGAATCCTGTTATCTCTAAAAAAAAAGTCTTGAATGAAAATAATTTAATCGTTTTACATCAGCTGACTAGAATTGGAAATAAATGGTAATGATCTTGAGTTGACATAAGTTACTCCTGAGGATCTACATGGCTTTTTGCTTCATTTCGCTTGAAACACAGCATTTTCAAAAGGAAAGGCGAACGATTTCATAAAAACATCATCAAGTATGGCAACAATAATAACAAAATTCGGTTTTTTTTTCTTTCAAATTAATCCACCTGTAAAAGTCGAAATCCTCAACAGCGTGACCACCACCGGATTTCGGCAACATTCGCTGCTTCAATCTCAACAAACATCTCCCCAAATAACCATAACCAGTCCCAAAATCAACCACTGATTGGTTCACCAAAATTTTCTCCAAATTCAAGCACAATCGTGGCACAAAGTTGTGCGTTCTGATGTTTTTTTCGTCGATGCAAAAAGAACCGGTTGATTTCCACCAGGCACCCGCAAGACACGGTTCTTTTCTCTTGTCCATGATCAACGGGAACCTTTTGAGAAGGGCTTGGTAACGCTGTTCGTCACTTGGAACTGGTTTTTTAGTCGAAGAAGACGTCGAACTAATTTTTGAACCCGACGCGAAGCTTATGATGACAAGAGAAAAAATGATGATTGATGGAATCGAATGAGAGAAGGGATTCATGACTGATTAATTTTCCGGGGGATTTATTGACGCCTTATTTTCAGCCGTTTGAGAAAAAGAATTCTTGGGGAAAAAACAAGATTATTTTTCGGTCTCCGAATCTGATGTCATAGAAAAAATATTTTTGGGTAAATATACGATGACGAAAGCAGATTTTCACCCTGAAAACTATACGAAGATTGTCTTCATCTTATTCCCGTTACAGTATATATTTTTCCCAATTTTGAACATTCATGCTATGATTTTAAAAACTATGAATAAAATACAAATGCTGACTAGATATTGGAACATGTTTTATAATATTCCTGAAGAAAATATTTACGATATATAAAAATGCGCAGGATTATATATACTCAAGCTAATTTCAACTCAAGTTTTTCAGGATCAAGATTTTAATTGCGGAATAAATCACGATTGCAGGTCCATCAATACATCAAGTCCACGTAAGTCTTAATTAACGAAGAATCGATGCCATTCTTGAATTGTCTTGATAAAGCGCAGTATTGTTGTACAGTATAATATCTCTGCATTAAATTTGGCTATTGATCAAAAGGCCCCAATAAGTAACACGAATAGTACCCTTCAAGAAAACGGGCTCCTCTCTAATACTTTTCTGCTGGAGGATGAAAATACTGTATAAGAAGACGTTCATCAAGTGCATGAGTAGGTTAATTTATTTAAAGAAAATTTAATATTCCCCATTAGCTCTTTGTTCAAATCAAAATCCTCAAAATATACTTTCTTGTTTATCAACGTCTTCCAAATTGTTTTTAAAAATATTCCCTCGTTTCATCAATCTCGTTGCTGGAACAATGAATGAATGTAACGACACTATGTCGCTAGCAACTTAAAATGTTTTCACAGAGTTTTATAATTTAACGGCAGGTGTCGCTCGCCGAGCCCAACCAGCGTGATGGTCGACTTGTGTATCGATCTAACTCCTCCTCGCACGCAGCAGTTTCTATGCGTCTGTATTGATTTCCTGCCCAACACCTGCTGAACATATGAGCATGTCGTTTTTTACGGCAGTCAGTCCTAGTTCAGCCGTGGATTAAACACTATCGACTTTGTACAAGCAAAAGAAGCAGAAAATTCATTTAATAAGTATGCTACGTGGAGAATTAGTAGATGCGGCAGTGTTATATTATTTCTGTGTATTGCAACATGCAATTTCAATGAGGCAAGGTGACGGAAAAGTGTCGATTGAGAATTGGTATGCCTCCAGAAATTTTGTTGGGCTGCCTTTTTGGATTAATTCTATTCCTCTTGAAACACTATCACGTCTTCCCACGCTTAATCGTAATCTGCATAGTGTGCTTTTTCCTGCTGCTGATTATAAAAACAATCGAGCTTTCAACAGTTTCTTACACCCTGGCTTTTGGTGTGATTGCAGGAATCCTGGTCAGGGAGCTGATCAGGTGTGCCATTCATTCCAAGGTGACTTTCTTGCATTCATTTTGTCATGTCTGATCTAGATGACCTTGATCCAGACCAACTTTTGGGCGTAAGTTGCCTTGGGTGATTTAATGCAGAAAGAAACGCCAGCATATTTGGCAAGTATTCATGCATCAGCGACATCTACATGGAAATGTAGAAAGCAATTGTCCGCTTTATTCGGAATTTCACCGTTAGGCTTCCTCTGGTTTAATTGAAGTCTTTTATTTTGTCTTCCATGAATGGAAGACAATTCTTTTGTATATGCCACTGGTGCATGAATATCACACAAGAGAATGCAAAACTAACTTTACTGGCCTTTGAAAAAAGAATAATTTAATACTTATATTTGGGGTTGTTTTTACTTTAGGATCTTGATGATCTGGATGCAGGCTTGTTTGGAAAATCGATCCCAAAGCCAGCTGAGAGACCCAAAAGCCCTCAGGCAACTGCAACAGATCCACCAGCAAAAGAAGATCCAGCTCCTTCCAGAGATGCCTCCAAATCCAGGCTGATGTCAGAATTGTTTTCTTCATCACCAATTGGTAGTCCCAAGAGAGACAAAAAATCAGCACCTGATGATGACTTCCTTGGAGGCTTGGGTTTAGACTCTGATAGGCCCTCAACCATCAGTGGGCCCAGGAAATCTGCTGGAGGAGCTTTTGATTCATTACTAGGGGCAGGAATGAAAGCTGAGCCCAAGGATTCACCTAAGAAGAATGTTTCTTTTGTTCTTGATGAAAAGTACAAGAAAAAGTCAGGTGAGTCTCAATGTCATGATTCATGTGCATTATATGTCCTTTTTTGTTTCCTTCACAAAAATGGCTTGGTGACATATCTGAGAGTGAAATAAAGTTACTGTTTCATTGGATTGTCATCATGGATATAATACAGTAAGGCCCAAAGTCAGGATGAATTGAGTTCTTTGGTAAAGATTTGCTTCTAAAATGAATCTTTGGTTCTTAAGTTATTGAGTTTCTGGTTGGTCATGTTTTACAGTTTTTGTTTATCCCAAGTCTTAGCAATGAGTTATGTTTTAGGTTTGGGTATTCCTGAGATCAATTAGTCATTCCATGTTTTAGCACTCCATGTTTTAGTCATTCCATGTTTTAGCACTCCATGTTTTAGTCATTCCATGTTTTAGAAGTTGGGTTACTCCTATAGCAGGAGGTTTGTCTCTGTCTTGTCTTAAGCAAGTTCATATGAGGTAAAGCTACATTAGTTGTGTTTTAAGAAGAAAATTATGCAAACATAAGAGAAACTAGCGTGATTAGTTCCCTCTCTTTAAAAGGACAGTTGAACCCTGCTCAACAGACTTCCCACTCAACATATTTTGGCACAATGGACTGCATCTGGAGGTGGTTTTCCCTCTCATGCAATGGACTAAATCCAACTAACAGACTTCAGTTGGGTTAAAATTGATGGTAAAAAGTAGAAATTTTAATTTTTAAAGAATTGAATTTGCATAACAGACTCTATACACAACAGACTAGTGTGTTGCATGAATCAACTCCATGTTGCAGGGATTGACTGTATGTCAATGTGGCTAAATTGATGATGGATCCAGCATTATAGGCCAGCATGATGAAGTAAACAGATGCTCAATTAACCCTTGGGCGGCAAAGTCAGACTATTTTTGCAAAATTTTGTTGCACCTCAGGGCAGAAAATAAAACAAAGGACAACAGGGATTTGAGGACAAAGTTGGGGAAAAATCCGATGTTTTTTTTCTTTTTGCACAGAAACATTTTATGGGAAAATGAAAAAAATGCTATGCTAAGCAATGGGATTTTCTTGGGTTAATCCCAACTTTGCCTCAGCCCACCTGGAAGGTCTTTTCTGACCTTCAGAAAAATTAAAATGCCTTAGCATACGAAAATAATCCGATTTTGGCCGGCAATGGGAAAGAACCCTTTGCCGTCCAAGGTTTAAATGGATTGGTGGTCACTTGCCTATAGTTGCCTCTGAGCTTTTCTCATATTATCAGATGTGTCCCCCGCCATGAGAGAGGAATCAGCTGGTTTCACCTTATCTGGGATTGGAGAAAATAAGCCAACTAGGATGCAAAAAGTATCAACTGCAGGAGCATATCCCACAGCCCCTGCAGAAGTTCAAGAAGAAACCAGACCAAGGAGAAAGCAATCAAGGCATTCAACTGCTTCTGCTGTTGCTGCACCTCCTTCAGCAGATAATTGGTTAGGAGGACTGGAGCAGCCCTCAAAACCTGCAGAACCACAGGACACCAATTTATGGTCTTCCTTGGGGTTCAAAACCAGTGCACCCAAGCCAAAAGAACCTCCAGCTGACGTTGCTCCTTCAACTGAGTCTTTTTTCTCTGCAACTTCAAACTATGTCCCTCCAGCACAAACAGCAGACCCGGGAATCCCTTGGGACAAACTCCAAACAGAGCAAGATGCAGCATTCCGCAAGCACATGCAAGCATTCAGAGAGAAGCAGGCAGAAGTGCAAAAGTCACAGGAGCAGCTGGAGAAATTGGCCAAAGAAAGGATGCAGGAACAGCAAGAAACCCAACTGTTGCTGCTCCAGAGGAGGCAGCAGGAAGAGATGCAGAAACAGATGACTTCTTTTATGGTCATGATGCAAGAAATGAAACAGCAACAGATGATTTCTGCTCTTGAGCAACAGGAGCTTTTAATCAAATGTCAAACTAATCCTCTTGCAGTTGAGTGTCTACTTTTGAATCCTTTCTGAAACAGCATCTTATTTTCTTATACTGTACAGTACATGCTAGTGTATATTTATGGTTTTTTTCCAAATGACTCACCAAGTACAATGCAAGATTGACAGCTTTTACATGTTTTGAATAATTTCTTTTTTCAGGAATAATTATGGACAATGTTAACAATGCGCTGCTCATTTTAGTAAATGCATGTAAACAACTTTTGCTGAACACCCAAAATAAATCACAATATTGGAACTGCTTTTAAACTATTTGTTCATGTCTTATTACAGCTAGAACATTGATCTAAGACCCCAATTTTTCCTACAAATATCTTGACTTCAGCAGCTGATATTGGATTTATTGATGTATTTGTATTTTACAGATGGCTGTGAATCCTAACCTGGCAAATTTGGTGGCTCTCTCTGCTCAATCACAAAGCCCATCAAGCAGCGCTGGATTCATACAAGCAGACTCATCTAAACCACATTCTAATTCCTCAGACAGCCAATTGAATTTGTCCATTGGAATTGCTGAAGAGGTCATGAGACTGAAGGTGAGGATACAGCACACAGCAGAACTTTAAACTATAAATGTTGTCAATTTTTGAATGAGCTAAAGCACTGATGAAATGGTGCATGTAGAATCTCATTTTCCACAACAAAAAAAAACAATTTAGACACTTTTCATGTTTGAGCATTGGCCAGAGATTGACTAGAAATTTAAATTTTTGAGTTTTTTGAATTAGGGAAGGTCCAGCAGAATACATAACTGAATGCAAAATAAATTTGCATTGCAATTTTCCACAGGGAGAAATCAAATGCCTTGAGATTGACAGGGACCAGTGGAAATCCTCATTTGAAACCTCCCAATCACACCATGAATCCGAGATCCAACTCCTCACCAAATCTCATCAAAGTCAGAGGGATTTACTGGAAAGTGCTGCTGCTAGACAAGAAGCTTGTCAGGCTGCTGAGATAGAAACATTGGTCAAAGATCATGAAGCCAGACTTGCTGCTATCACACGTCGCCACCAGGCTGAAATAGAACGATACATAGAGCTTTTAACAGAGAAAGACAAAGAGCATGAAGCATTTCTGCAAGACCTGGAAAATAAACACAAAGAAACAATTAAAAAGCTCAACTCACTTCATGAAGAATCTCTGGAAAGGATCAACAATGCAAGAGAACTGGAACTCACTGCAAGAGATGCAATTGCTTCAAAATCTCAGTGAGTATGCTTATAATTCAGTCCTCCACAAGTTCTATAGGTGTTTGAAAGCAAAATTTAATACCAGCAAATATTTTCAGGTTGTTGGAGCCAATTATAGACCAATTAAAAATGCAAATGGAAGACATGACAAGACTCAAGGTCAGACTGGAACATGATGCCCATTCTGCAGAAAGTTCAAGACTTCTTTTGCAGCAAGAGAGTGAAAAGAAACTGGAGGCTGCTAATGAGATTTTACTGAAGGAAAACAGTATTTTGAAAGAACAATTGACAACCTTCCAAGAGGCCCTAAGTTCCAAAAAAACAGAAATGAAAGCTTTAAGAGCAGATATAGAGGAAGAGAAATGGAATGTGTCCAGGATGCAGCTGAAACTAAACAAAGAAAGGCAACTTTTTGAATCTGAAGTGGATGCATGGAGATTGAAACAAGAAAGAGAAGAAAAAATTCTACAGGTTCCTTGAATTCATCAGCCTAATTCTAGAGAATCAGCCTTCATCATTGTTCTTTGCAGGTGAAGAAAGAAGAATTTGAAGATTTCTCCCAGACAATCCGCAGAGATCTTGAAAAATCTAAGCAAGAACTTGCCATGGAAGCTCAAGAAAGGGCGGTCAAACAAGTCACTGAAGCCAGATCTAAAACAAAAGCTGACTCAGAATTCAGCCAGGTAATTCCAAATTTACAGATACATTAAGGGTTAAACTAGACTCAAATTTCCTCATTTCAGAAACAACTCCAAGCAGAAGCTGCCCTTGAAGCAGTTGCAGAAGAAAGAGTGGCTTTGAAGCAGAAAAAGAAAGAGTTTCAAAAACAGAAGGATATTTTTGAGAGAGAAAAAGAAGAACTGAATCATCAATGGGAGCAAATCAAGCAAGAGAAAGATTCCTTAAGGCAATCAGCTCTCACCTTGAAGGAGCTCAAAGCAAGCTTGACCAGAATGAAGAAGGTGGAAAACTTTTCATTACATAAAATCCATTATATTAAACCCATCAATGCTTTACAGGATCTATCAGATGCTGAGGAGAGGAACAAAGAAACCTTAGAAGATATAAAGAATTTAGAGCTCTCTTGCCAGGAAAAGGAAAAGAAGCTCACTTCCATGACTAAAGCATTGCATGCCAAACAGCAATCAATGAAGGAGGTACTGTGCAATATCAATTAATCTCAATTAGATTCATATTTTATTGAGTTTGTATCCTCAGGAGCTAGAGAACTTGGAAAAACTCAAAAGGGACCTGGAGAAACAACAAGGAGAAATTTTTGTTTGTCAAGTTTGCAATTCAAAATTATTACAGCCCATGGATTCTCAGTCAGGCCAAGAATTGTTTAGATCCACTGCAGAGCTGGAAAAAAGAGATTTATTTATGCCTCCCACAAAGGCAGCTGCCATCAGCAGCAAGTATATTCAAGCACCAACATTCCAGACAAACAGAGACTTGGAATCAAAACTGGAGTTGTCAAAATACTTCAGAGGTCTTGGGGATGGACAAGTCGCCCAAGACGAGGTATGTCAAATGAACATTCACATATTTTCCACAGAATATTGATGCAGCAACAAACTGTTTTGATTTAGGAATCCACTGATGCATTGTCCATTCATGGCCTGGAGTCACATGTTACTTCACCAAGAACAGTACGGAGAACAGAGGATTTCACATTCTCTACTGCTCATATGCAAGCTTGGGAAATGCAGACTGAGCAAGACAGGGCCTACATGAGATCTCAAATGAATTGGTTGAATGATATTGAAATGAAATTGAAGACAAATGTCTTGTGATCGATTGTCTCAGAAATAGTTCTCCCTTTGTATCTCTTTCACCAAACAAATTATACTTCATTTTTTGCGTGCATTTTTCGGTTGGGGAAATCATTTTCCATTTTGCGCAGCAGCTGAAGGAACACGGAATTCTTCAGAAACGACGTTGCACTCGGGTCAAGCTGTGCTGAATTTGTGCATTCTGTGCTGCTTGATGCTCGAAGTGACAGCAAAATCGATCCAAGCGGATGAAATGCTCTGTGACTACTTACTCTGCTTGGGATTGTACGAAGCGAAACTGAGCATAAGTTGAACGGCTGATGCACAATACTGCAACGCCGCGTGGCAAACCAGCTCAGTTTGTGTCGCCACGTTTTATCCTGAAGCAAAGCTTGGTTTTCCCGCTCCCAATATGGCGATGACCATGGGCACCGCTGAAGGCGAGGCTTCCTGCGGGAAGTTGGTAATGATGGCTGTGAAGTGATGTTGGTCGACAAAATTCCGAATTCGGGACGAAATCCGAATAAATTTCACGCCATAGATACACAACTTACTAGAGGATAGGGTTCAGATGGACATCTTTCGGCGGAAAATGTCACCGTGCCAAATTTGTGGCATTATTTCGTGATGTGTTCGAGTTTTTGGAGGTGCCGCTGCGAATTTGTGTTTGGCGCTTTATCATGGTTGAATGTTTTGGAGTTCTCCTTGGTATTGATCGTCGAATTTTCTCGCTTGAAATTTTCCATCATGGAAGATGCGGACATTTAGCTTGTGTCATCAACGGTGCGTGAGTTCTGTGCTGGAAGTTGAATTTAGTAACTGTCGACGATTACTATTCATGAGTTGATGAATCAGCTATTTAATTTTGCTGAATTTGCTTCAGTTTTGGTTCAATCTTTTGGAAGAGTAACGTTCATTCATGCATGTTTAGTTCTAAGTTTTAATTGTGATAACCCACGCGTCTGGGGTCTGTTTCCCGTTATCTTTTTGGATCTCAAAGTTATCGCATTACAGTACTGGTTGCCCCCAAAACCGTGATTCTTCTAAATTTAGGTTTGCGGCCGTGGAATACGTTTGCGCTATTGTGTCAGGTTTTTGGTGAAAACGATATTATTGCTTCTGGTTTCATCGCGTGTCGCTTCCGTGATTCGACTGTTTGTTCTTTCTCGATGGAAGACCCGTTGGCGCATTAAATGACGCGTTTCAGTATTAAGCGCGTTGAAAATTCCGAATAGAATGTTGCCCCGACACGCGCGGGATCGATTGAATTTCAAATTCTCCCCACCCTTCGACCCATTCTCATATCCGTCATCGCGTGTCGACATACATTCTACCGTGTCGTGAGCTTTTCACGCATTTTCTCCATGACCTCCCTTATTTCGCAGGGTTTGTGACGTGCTTTCATTGCGCTCAGCGAAGCCCAGTGACTTTCAAATCCCTGTGTCGTGATCGCGCGTTCTGCAATAAGTGAGGAGCCGTTATCGAAGGAAAAGCCATGACGTTGCTTACAGGCCAGGAATGCCTGTGCTGGAAGTCGCCAAAGAAAGTGAGTAGGCCTTCATTCAATTTCGTCAGTGTTTTGAAGATGAACTTGAAAGTTTTTGCCAATCGAGTGTTTTACATTTCGCTGTTAATTTCGATTGGAAGGCAATTCGTAGCGCGATTAGCACCACTCTATCCTTATAACCAACGAATTACTGCAAGACGCACCTACAACTGCTGAAAGATTACGAAAAGATCCGTGATATACAATACAAGCTTCAAAAAGTTAGTATTGACTATCGTTGAATAAGTAGTTATTTACGAGGGTTTAAGACGCTCTGTTTCCGATTAAATCTGACATCATACTTGGGTGCGCCCTAGAATCGTTCGTGCGTGATATTATATGCAAAATACTAGTGGTTCTAGAAAAGGTGCGTCTGTTCAGATGATAAATTTTTTATTCATCTTCTAGAACATTTTTCTGTCTGTGTGGAATAGCCGGGAGCCATGTCGAAGTGTAAAAGTGTGCGGAAGCATCTAGAAATTCTTTCCGTGAATAATTTTCAACTTTATGGGTTCATTACGTTATTGCCAGTGTTAATTCCAGTGGTAGAATCCGCCAGTGTGCTTTCATCTGTGGTTTTTCTTCGAAATGAATCGAGAAATAATTTTATCTTGAGAAAATCGGGGCATTTACAAATCTACGATGCGTAAAAGACTTCATGACTGCCTGAGGAACAATTGAGGGTCAGTCTTCGAGTTGCTAGAAGATTATTTGTCCTCAGTTCAAGGCGGTGAAACATTAGGACGAGGCTTAGAATCAATGCTTTCTTTCAAAATTTGGCTTTTTTCGGGTATTCACACGAATTTGCAGTTTTTTTTGGATAATCGTAAGTGTGCTGTAAGGTGAATCTGTGTGTGTGTTTTTTAAAAAATTCAGCTGCAGGTAATTATTTGCCTCGCTTGATTCAGAAGCTCGTTACGGACTTTTTGTCGGCTCGAATCCCGTTATTTCTCATGATACAACAACGGTGTGTTTTTTCCGTCTCTATTCTTCCCCTCAGTGCTTTGTTTGGAAAATCGTTCACTCTTGAAGAAGCAGTTCGCGTGTTAATGTTGTTTCACCGTGGGACATTTCGGTGTGCTCCTACTTTTCTGGGAGCATTTTCGCGGCGAATTTCCGGGTCTTGAATTTTTGTCTTGTTCTTTTTTTTGTTACCTGTTCAGAAGGCTGATGTGGAGTGTAAATTGATTTATTGTGCTGCTTATCAACGGAGGCTTGTGGGTGTGCCCAAAAGCTTAGGTGTTCATTTGAATGTTCGCTAAAATTTGAAACGGTTAAAAAAACAATCCCGAGCACCGAGTTTTCTCACGGTGATGCACTTTTCTAGATGTTCGTCACCGTGATTTTAGGCTGTACCTGGATTTTTTTTCAAAAAAGTAGGAAGCAAAAATACTGCGAATAATCTAATAAAATATTAAAATTATAGAATTGCAACTGAGGAACTATGTAATACAGTAAAATTCTGTTATAAGTAACTCACAGTGACTTGAGAGAAAATTAGTTATGCGAAGAAATACTGTACAGCTAAAAGGGAAATTGCGTGTTTGAACCCTCGTGATCTTCATGCGATAAATTTAGTGTCATTCGATTTTTAAATTTCGCAATTTTTCTAGAAGATTTCTGTCTTATTTCGTTTGCAACGCTTTTCAATTTATTGATGCGCGCTTTTCTGGCCTGCGCTGTTTTGGGACGCGCTCAATGAGCCAAAACAACCTGAAATATGCGTGAATGAAGCGTCTGTGAGCGACGTAAGAAGTACGAGTTTTAAGTTACGAAAACCTAAAGGTCACAACTAATAAAAAGTCCGCTTAAACACATAAAAAAGAAACAAGCGCGGTTCCAAAGTCAAAAATCTACGCGCGAAAAGACCGTCCGCGAGTTTTTCGGACGCGCTCAAGTGTGTCTGATAATGGGCTTTATTCGCACTTAGTTCGAAAACTCTCGCTACATAGAAGTACGAGTTTTAACTTACAGTAACCTAAAGGTTTCAAATTAAAAAAACGCCTAAAGACAGAAGAAAGTAAACGTGACTCAGTGATTTTTTTAAATGCGTGCTTTTCTGGCATGCGCTGTTTTTTGGACGCGCTCGAGTGTGACTGTACCCCCCAAAAGAAGCGTGAATCAAGCTTTTGAGAACGACTTATCTTTGTGTTAAAAATTCAATGTCATTGGATTTTCAAAGTTCGCTTTTTTACGAATTTCTGTCTTCTTTCATTTGCACTGAGTCTGTGATTTTTTAAATGCGCGCTTTTCTGGCATGCGCTGTTTTTTGGACGCGCTCAAGTGTGTCTGTACCACTGGAAAGAGGCGTGAATGAAACTTTTGAGAACGACTTATCTTGATACTCAAAATTTAATGCTGTTGGATTTCCAGTGTTGGCTATTTTTCAGGCGAATTCTAGTCTTTTTTCTTTGTTTGCGCCAAGGTTTCAGTTTTTAGTTGCGCGCTTTTTTGGTACGCGCTGTTTTGGTATGCGCTCAAGTGAGTCGACACCACCCGAAAGAGTACAATGAGATTTTTTTTTAAACGTATTTTGCTGGCTTTGCTTGATGTACTATCGCGTTCATTAGTCACGCTTGGGTCGTTTGTTTTCGGGAAAGAGGGTGTGAAAGATTCCCTGCGTAAAAAAAAACGCAAAAAAAGAACTGTTCCCTACCAACTCTACAAGAGTTGGGCTAGGGCTACGAAAGAAGAAGTTCTTTTAAGGTCTTCAAGAAAGGGGAAAGTTACGTTTGCCACACACAAGCCCTTATGCGAAGAAGCTCGCGTTTCAGATTCCTTTTTGAATATCCAGAGATAATTTCGCATGCGAATTCCTTTTTTTTTCTTGAAAAAAAAATAAAAAATGCGTTATGCGATTCATTGGTACAGTACTTGAAAGAATCCTGGACGAACTTTCGCTGGTGTCTCGATGAGAGAGAAGAAAAGAAAAAGAATCTCATTTTTGTGATCTCGAATGAAAGGAGCGTCAGATGACGATTTATCCCTGCCATCATCAGTGGCTTCTTGTTCTTCTTCTTCTTTGGGGATCAGGAAATGTTCGGCAGTGTTGATGGGTTTCCGAAACCGGAAACAGGTTTTTAATTTGCTTTGCATCTGTCACGCGGAAGTTTTTCATTCGTCTGTCGTAACGTCGAGAAGTCGGGAAGATTGGATAGACGAGTTGAGATCCCTTGGGGGAGTTCTTGTTTTTTTTTAATGTGGCGTCAGTTGGCGCAGTTTGCGTGAAGAACCAATACATAAAGAGTCCAAAGTAGTGAACTCGTCCGGAACGGAACAAGTTAAGGGTTGCTGAGCGAAGCCTCTTTCATCAAAGAATAAAAATAAAAAGTGCCCTACACTGAGCAACCAACGGAGACTTGGGATAATTGAATTAAATTTTTATTTTGGCTCAATATACTGTATATATTTTTCAAGTTCTCGTCTTTCGAACAATTTATTCTTCAAATGGCTGAAATTTATTGGAATGCGCGGCATGAGAAAATTTAAAATTTATCTGGTGTATTTTTTGAAAAATTGTATCGCGTGAATCGTTGGTTACAAGTCT